CCCCATGTTAGGAAAATAAATGACCCCCCCCCCCATGGAATTAGGCAAATTTTGACCCCAGGGCTACAATTTGAACAATTTTTGTGGGATTTCATTAGATGATATTACACACAAAATATCTTAGCTCTAGGCCTTGCACTTTCAGAGGAGAAGATTTTAAAGCGTTTTACTATACACATTAAAGGAACATATATGACCACCTGGGGCGAGACCAATTTTGACCAAAGGGCTATAATTTGAACAATTTTCGGAGAGTTTTATAAGACTTTCTTAATCACATTTTTCTCATATTTCATGCATTATCTCGGCCAGAGACCTTCAAGCATACTGATAGAATAATTACACGAGTATTGTTATTGATGACTTGAATGTAACTTAGTACCTATAACAGTTAGATCAGCAGATGTTGAAATATGGCCACATACACACGAATATTTTCCCGTGTCTTCCACTGATGCTTGTGTTATAGCTAACCAGTGGGTGCAATGGTTGTTCATGAATACCATATTGTCTGTAATTTTGATCAGCTTACAATCTTTTCTCCATTCAACATTATCACCCACTGGAGTGTCAAGTTTACATCTTAAAACGACTGAATCATTGATATAGACATTCTTGTTCTGAAGTTCTTCAATGAAGATTTGGTCTGAAGTATATTGTATTTTGTTCATTAGATTATAATTCATTAAAATCAAGTTATTGTACGCTGTGCATGCAATTATCAATAAGATTTGATATTTCATTGTTTATGACTTACAAAATGATTAATTTCATTTAAATTTAAACTCTGAAAGAAAAATACAACATTGATAATTCAATGAACAAATAAGTATAAGACGTCAAGAAAAACTAATTCGTAGATACTCAAGATCAATTTTGAAATGCCAATTAGAAGATTTCTTCAAAGATTAAGTATACTGTTTGATTGTCTATGAATTTAATCAGTTTGGATCATACCGAATACAAATTCAGAAATAAACACATTCAAGTATTTTGATATTCAATGTAGAAATAAGTTAAATAGTCATTCTGCAAAAGCGTTAGATATATGCATATTGACAACTTGCAGATGAAGTAATGTAATTGGATACATTACAACCATATGAATAAATTCACATACTTACCATTTGTCTGGAGCACTTGAGTGTTATCTTCGCCAGTAAGTGTACTCTGTGTTTCTAATTTTACTTCAATTGCAACTTGAAGATGAGTTTTGACATCTTTTGTCCCTGTTAGTTTGCATACCTGACTTTCGCTTAAATTCATCGATTCAGGCTCAAATGAATACATCATACGTTTACAATTATAATTAGCACTTTGGTCTATAAGCTTTATCAACTCGAGTAATTGCTCGTGCACTAAATCTTGTTTCTCCTCGTAGGTCTTAAATGATAATGAGGCACATTCGGCGTATTTTTCAATATCTTTTCTCTGATCATATATGTCTTGAATGGCTTTAATTTCTTGACCCGTTAGATATGATTCAAACAAAACTAATGTCACAGCACATAATTGAAGAGTGTCCCACGTATCAATGTCATCATTCACACTATCTTCTTGAAATAATTGAAGATACTCTGTTTCGTACCTGGTTTTAAACGCATCTCTATACTCATTTAACAAAATACCAATATCTTTACCACAGTTTTTCTTTTTTTGTTCTATTATGGCCTTTAATGCGATGGGCGACGCTTGTTCCAATAACAATATATGACAGAGGTAATGTTCATGCCCCCTAGCTATATCACAGTTCTTCTGTAATGTGAATTATAATATATTGTTTTAATAAAAGAGATTTGAAATTTTCTTAGAAAATATATTTATACTTTTTTACGGTTATTTAGAGATGCTTTAACTCAAAGTTATCACAATGAAGTTTATACGATAAATGTAAGAAAATCATATATAAAAATATAGGTTACAATAGCTAAGTGTGTAGTACGATATTCTATATAATCTGAAAACCATTAAAAAACAGAAATCATATAAAGATCTTAATATATAAAGATATAGGTTACAATAGCGAAGCGTGTAATCCTACGATATTCTATATAATCTGAGAAACATTAAAACTTATTAATAGAAATCATGTTTACCAATGATGGCATCTCCATTGTTTCATTTTTTATTCGTTGTTATGTTGTTCGTCTTGTCACACAGAACTCTTGGCCGTGAGACTCTGTAGAAAGAAAATACAATCATAAACATGTCCTTTAAAGCTGCACGCCTCCAGATGAGCCAAAATATTTCAAGAAAATCAATATTGAGACATATGTACACAAATTTTATGATATAATTTTATTTGATTTCAAGACCTTTTATCTACATGAAAAGTTTTTTTTAAATCTGAATCGCTGTTTAGATGAAAATAGGACCAACAAATCTGTTTCATGACGAAACGGTCCATTTCAACGCCAAATTCGCTAACTGGGAAACGCCGCTATAATTTCATTTCAAACACAAATTTATCAATTTTATGTTTCCTGGAACCTTTAATCAAATCTTCATGGGATAGCAATTTACCACATTTCGATATTTGGTGTAGGGTTTACAAAATATATAAAACATGACGACCGTTTCCCTTTGTTGACACCTGATTTAAGCGACATGCACTAGCTCGGAAGTAGCGGAAGTGCGATTTACCGTATACCTCTAAAAGAGATAGCTCTATCATTTACCAGGCGTGTATAATGAAACAATTAAAACAATTTCACAAATAAATTTATAAAATGAAAAACAATTGTTTAGAGATCTGGAATAGGCAATACAGAGGAACACAGCCTGTCTAGAAAAGAACCACCAATGACAATGTACAGAACTTTGTTAACTTGTTCATGTAAGTCAATTTCTTCAGACCCTTTACTATTTGAGCATATTTTGGAACAGCTTGAAAATTAAGAGGTAGAGTCACCGTACCAATGCTGAACCAGTTTTTCACAAAATCACATAAAAACTTTGCTGGGAAACTTATTTTTGTTTCAAAGCTGGCCCTTTTAAACTCACAATAAGCTATAGCGTTTTAACGAGACATCGGAATACAATTTACCACAGAGTTGTATATTGGGTATAAAACCACTATATTTTTCATCAAACCAAACCAGTGCTCGACTAGGTGGTTTGATCCCTATCAGAACTTTTATTTTCAAAAACAGATATGACTTTTTATGTTCAACAATTCTATTTCATAAATATTTTGAAACATTTATGTTTTAGTGTCTATAGATGTAAATATGAGAGTAAATATGATACGAAGGGAATGCTATACATTGACAAATAAAGTGTTTATAAGAGTTTTGGAATTTAAATATACATTGTATTGGGGTGTTTGAGATTACTTATTCTCATATTTTTTTTTATATAAAATCACTCTGCAAACATAGTTCAATGTGATACTAGTATTTGGTGTAATATACCAATGGTCTACGCTTTAAGTGGTGTGTTCTAATTTTTTCCCGTACAGCTGCCATATTTGTTAATATGTTCATATATAGCCTTTACCTTTTATGGAAAGCTGGGTTTTGATGATTTTTGGGCGCCTTTCCTATGGAAATCAATTGGAAGCATTACAGTAAGGGCAATTTAACAAAGTACTGTCCACAGTTGCCCTAAATCATCATTATTTAAGTGTTTTAAATAGTTTTACTGCTACTTTTATTATCGAGTGAAATTACTTATTTCATTATTTTTATAGTTTTCTTAAATTTCTTGGTATCATTCCAAGCATTTTGACAATTTTTACATAAAATTTGGTCCAGATAAGAAAGTCCAATTTTGTGTGATAAGTATAAATTTATTTATGTTCAATGAATTTCTAATAACGGACCTGTATATTTTGTTATACATGCGTTCTGGAATGCAAGAAAATCGTGAAAGTTATGTTTCACGCTTTCTACTTAGGGTAATTATGCTTATATATTGAACGATTTAAATCTTCTTTGGGGGACTCAGATTAAGACGTATAAAGATGCACAAGGTAATTATGACAGACAAATTTATTCTTGTGGGGTAAATTTTTATGCTTTCACAAGGTAAATTGTTCTTTTCTTGATGTTTTATTTAGTATTTTTTTTTGTTATTTCAGAATATCGTAATTCAGTTAATTTTTCATTACATATTTGTTTTATAAAAAAAATTATTTTGCATTTTGACAGCAATTTTTCGTTCCCTAATTTTTCGTCTTATGTAGAGTTATGACTCTAGTGTTTCATACATTACTTAAATATTGGTAATCTGTTGTACATTTTATAATCATTGATGGTTGTTGTATGTATGGAAGGCTGTTAACGTATTTAGTGCACGTTATTTTATCATGCATTGTTTCATTTATATTTGCTAAAAAAGTTTTCATGTTCTTGTCTAATACAGTAAAAGTCATTAATAATTAAGCTTGCTGCAGATGTTCTTTTTATATAATTCTTATTTCTTTAAGTAATTTTCATATCACATCATCATTATCTTTTTTTACGAAATAATATGGATTCCATTCAAGGAAGGATTTCGTCGATATTAAGGTGGCACCCGGTCTGGCTTTATGTTTTATATCTTACAACGTGCTACGATATATAATCAACGTTGAATTTATTACACCAGTGTGTATGGCGTTCCATAAGAGACATTACATTTTTAGAAGCTTTGTTTATAGGAATCCGACAAAGGTCCGGCTATTCCAAAGGGACATACCTATACCCTTATACTTGTGTACCATGGATATTTACTGTGTGTTATATTTTGTTACTTCTACTCTAGGATTCACCCTCAATTTTGTATCACGCATGTGTTCAACATAGCGACGATAGTGGAGATTGTGACGTAGCGACGCAGTCTTGGATCTACACTCTGTAGACAGTACAGAATCGATATTTCTGCTTTGAATGGGTCACATCTGGAGATTGTGACGTAGAGACCCCACATCCACAGTCTTGGATCTACACTCTGTAGACAGTACAGAATCGATCTTTTGCTTTGGATGGGTCACGTCTCGAGATCAGTGAATATTTGTTGTTTTTTTTAGTTAAGCCACCGGGACAAAGTGACAAAGTGCTATTCGACAGGACACGGAACTTTTATTTATTTTGTTTTTCTCTTTTCATTCATTGCTTATCATTTAATTTCATTTATGAATAATCATTTAGTTTTTGTAAATATATTTTTAAATAGTTTCTACTGAGTTGCTTTGCTTTGTATAGTGTTTTGATCAGCCTGTGTTCCACCGTAGTCCATATTGTGACAGCACTTCTCTTTTCTACGGATAATCATATCCTTGATCTTTATTGTAATAGACCTAAAGTATTAACTATTTCTTGAGTGTGCATGGGGTTATACCATTGACAAGTTCTTGTCGAGATTGTGATATGTTTTTTTGGTGATAGATGAGATAAGTGTCTTGCATTATGTTTTGCAGTTTACTGAAAAACTTGAAAAAAGCTTTAGGTATGGGAACGGAGTAATGTTTCCTTCTTTTAGCTCTTTCAAAATTGTTCTTTTTTAAGTTCTAATAACAAGATTCTAATAACTAAGTTCTAATGTCTAAGTTCTAATGTCTAAGTTCTAATAACTAAGTTATAAGGACTAAGTTCTAATATCGAGGTCCTAAGAACTAGGCTCTAATAACTAAGTTCTAAGAACTAAGTTCTAATGTCTAAGTTCTAATAAGTTCTAATAACCAAGTTCTAAAGTCTAAGTTCTAGTGACTAAGTCTAATGTTTAAGTTCTTATGTATAAGTTCTAAGAACTAAGTTATAGTATCTACGTTCTAATAACTAAGTTCTAATAACTTGGTTGTAATGTCTTAGTTCTAATGTCTAAAATGAATAAACGTAATGCATAAAAAAAACTTTTGCAATCTGTGATTTGCCTTTTCACTGGAATTTAAGGGAACATCCAACTTTAATCACAATTATGACATGCGTTTTTTTAAATAAAAATAATGGATTTTTTCAGTATATATGCACGCTTTACATTTAGTATTATAGTTAGTTATGCAACAATTGCTCGATAGGCCATCATTCGGTACCCTGCCAATGTGAAGACAATATACTTTCTTTGTAAAATTGTATTGTACCTATTCCGTTATGCGATTCTTCGTGAATATACTGATGGCCCCGATTTGTAGCCAAGAGCAGATGACACCATCAATCAATTGTGCAGAATCATGCCCCTTTGTCACCTTAGGAAATTGTAACAAATGGAGATTTATTTCAATACTATATAAGACAAATAATTGTCTTATACTAATATATCATGGTAACCCAATCAGTATCAAACGCTGATAATTTCACAGAAGTGCACGTCGTTAAAATTAAGGCAATGGTTATCTATTATTTAAGTGGCTAATGTGATCTTGACCTAGTAGAAATGGAAACACGGAAGGATTGACCGCTGATACAAAGTGCACATAATTTAAAATGTAGAATTTACACACATTTTGATCGGGCCATTTATTGAAGCTCTGACTACACCAGACATTCCTCATTAAGAGTTATCACGAAACAGTTCAATAGGTATTTCAACAAGATTCCTGGCATCATCCGGCACAAAAGGTATTATTAGGACACACATGTTGAAGGGTCTGAAATCACATACCGTATAAGTGGTTTTTTCTGCGGTGACTTTATTTCTGCGTTTTCTGCGGTCAGCTTCAGCACCGCAGAAATAAAAACCGCAGAATATTTTCCATGTTTTTGTTTTTTTAACCTGGTACTTTATGTGCACTGCATTATGACCTGTTTCATATAAACATTAAAAGTAATAACGACTAACGGATTATAACGGTTAGCGGGTTTTCAAGTTGAATAAAACTGTTGTCTGCTAAGTATGTAAGTGTTTGTTTGTAAGGATGTACTTATTGTTAATTATTTTAACTTAAGAATAAAAATATTTAAACAGCATGTAATTTATATTGTTTATATTGTTTGCCGATACGCTAAATGTTTGTTTATCACTAAATCATTCAAACCATTTCAACCCTTATACTGCTAAATAATCGTCGAATACTTTAATTGGCATCTGCTTTACGGTATTAAATTGAAGATACTACAGGGGTATGTATATTTTTCACACGTCATTTCACGCTGATCAAAAGATGCATACCTTTCTTTTGTTGCGCATTATATTTGTTTGCAAGCAAACATTATAATTGTTTGTAATTACTGTACAGTTTTTTGGTGACGACGACAAACAAATGCGAATGCGTACAT